ACTTCACTTACTACTATCCAGGACACTTTTCAAGAGACTAACAAGCTAGTTAAACTAGTCAAAGTTAAAGTCAGTATTCAAAACCTCACAGAAAGATAATGCCAAGGGCTAATTTTGCCTTTTTTCCCTGTTTCACATTGACAATATGGCCAACTGGATGCCATATGGACCATATGGATGCTGTTCTCCTTGCTGAAGGCCAAAATAAGACAGTAACATTTTGTCTCAGAGTAATACTACAAGATTTAATGAAGCTCATTCTCTTAATTTTGGGACCCTTCCAGCACATGTTGTAGAAGAATACTGCCTTAAAGCCTTTTACAAAGCTGCCATGAAGATGCTATCCACCTTCAGATGTGTTGAATACTTATCATAATTATATCCACATAAACCAGCAGACATTAAAAGCATTATTCCAAGAGTAGTGCCTGAGAATAATAGTGCATCATTTGCATGCACAACTCCCATGAGTACACACAGTCTCTTGGATTATGCTTTAACAAAATTCTAGTATATCCAGCCCTTCCTTGCCCTATAGGACTGAGTAGTCAAGTAAATTTTTCTGGAAACTTCTTTATATCAACCTAACTTAATCATTTACGTTATGAACTTCATCTGAAGTCTCATTTTCTAACCAGCACGTTATTACTCCCCTAGTGGTGATTTGAAAATTGCAGTCTGGCTTTTATATGAACTTCATCAGTAAGCCTCAGCTACCAAACCCTATCATAATGGTTCAAAAATCTTTTTACATAGGAAGTGTCTCTAGCAATGCTCTGCAAAGCAATTATAAAAGTTTAAAAGTAAATTGGTATTTGAGCAGATGAAACAGCTAGGGCCAAGTATTGGACAGTTAAATGAAATGCAATTCTTCCCCATAATCCTACATGTATAGTTGAGATGGATGGGATCTGTTAAAGAAAACATGTTCCCTCCTATTTCAGACCCTAAACTCAGATTTCAAGGAAAACAAAACAAAAACAAACAAAAACCAAAACAAACACTGAGGACATAGATGCACTGAACTACAGGACCTCCACCCAAGGGAAGAGAGAGAGCAGGGTTGCTTGGCAGAGCCCAAACAAGCCAAGAAAGGCACAAACAGTTCTGGAAGAGCTCTCCTCACCTCCCGAATAGAAACCAGCGCTTTGGGCCAGCACTTGTCTTCCCTAGATACCCAGGCCTCACATCCTGAGGGAACCAAGCAAGGTCTCTGCACACATTTAAAGCTGCTGTACATGAGAGATCCTAGTGACAACTAAACTTTTCTTTTTTAAAAGGTATGGACAAATTCACAGCTCACAATAACTCTTCACCGTTACCCACACACAAAATCAATCAGCTTCTTAGAAGCGTTCGGTTCCGGGTGAGCAACGCCAGCCAGCCCCTCAGTGGCTTTACAGAGCAGGAGTGAGAGACCGCTGGCGGCTTAACGGCTCTATGTACTTCCCACAGACCGCCGTCAGCTGTGTGTGAGGCAGCAG